GCCTATACAGAGATTTCTAACCCATATAATGTAAAGTTTTAATATCTGTTCTAAAGCAATATCAAGTCTCTTATCTGTCTTTGCCTTTAAAAAAATATGTATTGATTAATTTAACATATATTTACTAAATGCCAGGTTCTGAGTGCTCTGAGAATATAGAAGTTTCAAGGCACTTATCATCTTGTGGCAGGATTCAGACTAATAAATAGTTATCTTCTTACTTTGTTTCAAGGATTTTGACTTGTTCTAGTATGCTTTTAACCTAGCAAAACCCAGGCAATCTATTCTTTTCACTAAGCTTATTTTAACACTTTAGAATAATATACATATAATATGTAAATATATAATTTATTAATTAAATTCCATTTAAATTTGTGTAATCTGTATATATACAGTGAGAGGGTATATAAAACACTAAGATTTAGAGCAATTTTTTAAACTGATAAACTTCATTTGACATAGATTTCAAATGAAAATAAATTTTTTTTTCTTTTTTGTAGAGACAGGGTCTTACTATGTTGCCTAGGCTGGACTTGAACTTTGAACTCCTAGACTCAAGAGATCCTTCTACCTTGGCATCCCAAAGTGCTGGGATTACAGGCATGAGCCACCATACCCGCCTTAAAATTAATTTTGACAAGTCCTTACCTTCACAATGTTTCCAACCACAAGGTCTTGATTATTTTCAGTATCTGATAAAAGCTGCTTAATCCCATTAATACGATCACGAAAGTCTTTTGCATTTAATAAACCAGTTATGACTTTAAGGTACTCAGCACTTTCTAAGGAATTACGAGGGACTGATTTTCTGGTGACTTCACGAACTTCAGTTACCTCTCTAAAGTGAAAGAAAGGTGAATGTGATTTCATTTGTACTTTCCTATAAAAACTATTATACAAACATAATTTTAAAATCTCACTATGAATTCATTTTCCAAAATGCATAAAATGACCTAACCCACAGCCAAACTATCTGTGTTGGGAGTCCCCAGGATCTCCCCTGGATTTGGATATTTGCTAGGAAGACTCACAAGTGTTAGCCTCTAGTTTTACTCATGGCTAAAATTTATTACAGCAGAAGGATGCCAAACAAAATAAGCAGAGGGAAAAGGTGCATAAGTCAAAGACCAGAGGAAACCAGATTTAAGCTTTTAAAGAGTCCTTTCCCAGTAGGGTCACACAGGACACAATTCCTTCAGCAATGAGTTATGACAACATATGGGAAATGCTGTCTACCAAGTAAGCTTATTAGAGGCCTCATGTCCAGAGTTTTCACTGGGAGCTGGTAACGTAGGGACCGTCTGCCTAGGACATACCAAAATTCCAGACCCCAGAAGGAAACCAGGCCTCCAGTATAAACCATATTGTTTGCCGAAACAATTTAGGCACAGTAAACTATCTTATCAGTTAGGGCATGTTGGGAATCCTCTTGAAATCCTGGTTTCCCATGTCAGCAAAGAGCTAACCTTGCAAGCAGCCTTTTTTAGGGATAAAAGTCTCAGGACTGCAATGTTAACTTTTTTCTGAACAGGTTCCTTGCCCATTGAGATCTAGATAAATTACCTTGAACCTCTTCTCAAACCCATTCTCCGTAGAAGATTAAGTGAACCACTCTTATGAGGAATAGTTGAAATCTTTCCAAAACCTACGTTCCCAGATGTCAACCAATGGACAATCTCTCTAAGCAGACCTTTCTAAGAATAGCAGTCTCAGGCCCTGTTATGTTAACTCTTTCCTGCAAAGTATTCGTGTGAACATGCATGGGACAATGAGAAACTAGAGACCAGCAGGAATTATTATGGCAATGACAGTATTCGTAGCATATTTTTTGTGGCTATAAAGGGGTAACTCAATGTGGTAGATCCAGCTTGTCCATCCCATGGTCTGCAGGTCGCATGTGGCCCGGACAGCTTTGAATGCAGCCTAACACAAATTCATAAATTTTCTTAAAACATTATGAGATTTTTGTGTATATGTGAGTGTGTGTGTGTGTGTGTGTGTTTTAGCTCACCAGCTATCATTAGTGCTGGTGTATTTTATGTGTGGCCAAGACAATTCTTCTTCCAATGTGGCAAGGGATGCAAAAGATTGGACACCCCCGTTTAGATGATCATCCTTTTGAAACTAAAGGGTCATGCAAAGTGACAGGTAGGTCAGTTGGTCAGTCTGTCTATCTATTTTAGATACAGAGTCTCACTCTATCTTTCTATCTATCTATTTTACTTTTTTAATTTTTAATTTATTTTTGAGACAGAGTCTCACTTTGTCACCCAGGCTGGAATGCAGTGGCATTATCTTGGCTCACTGCAAGTAAGCTTAATGTAAGTATATTGTAATGTTCTTACCTGAGACTTAACATGGTCTAATACTATTTGAAAGTATACTGTGAGACAGTAAAGATGTACATTATAATATTATAAAGTCTAGATCAACCACTTATAAAAGGAACAAAAAGATACAGCTAATGAAGAAGATAAATGAAATATGAAAATGCACACACACACACTCACATCCCTACCTCTCAATCAATCTTATACCAAGCACAAAAAGAAGAAAAAGAAACAGAAAATATAAGACAAATGGAAAAATACTATCAAAATGAGAGGCTTAAACCCAACCATGTGAATAACCGCTTTAAACCTAAATGGTCAAATACCCTGATTAAAAAGCAGAAATTGTTATATTGGTAATAAGACAAGACTCCAACCTGGGCAACAAATTGAGACCTCATCTGTACAAAAAATACAAAAAATTAGCTGGGTGGCAGGGTAGGGGTGCCATGGGCTTGTAGTCCCAGGTACTCGGGAGGCTAAGGTGGGAGGACACTTGAGCCCTGGGAGGTCGAGGCTGCAGTGAGCCATGATCACGTCATTGCACTCCAGCCTGGATGACAGAGCAAGACCCTTCCTCAAAAAAGACAAGACTGAGTCGCATACTGTCTAGAAAAACGCTCTTTAAAAAAACATAAGCTGAGCATGGTGGCTACACCTATAATCCCAGCACTTTGGAAGACCGGGGCTGGAGGATTACTTGAGCCCAGGAGTTGACACCAGCCTGGGCAACACAGGAAGACCCCATCTCTTTTTATTAAAAATTAATAAAATATATTTTTTAATTAAGAAGACAGACCAGAAAATACAAGCAAAATCCACAATGCATTAAGGAAAAAAATTATTTTCACACTTGTTAAAATGGTAAGAAAGACTTTATTCAAGAAGGAT